GTGGTGCTTAGCCGGCGCCAGACCGACCCTCGACTTCGGAGGGCTAGTGCTGTGCCTCTGGGCGCTTCCTCCCCGGCTTCTTCGGCTTCTCCAGCCTCCTCGGCCTCCTTACCCTCCGTGGGAACCCGAGATCTCGGTGTATGCCACAGCCTTGACCCTGCTCGAGAGATGTCTACCCCTGCTCGGAGGCGCCTCATGCGGGACTTCAAGAGGTAACTGACACGGACCGCGGCGGCCGGAGGTTGGCAACCGGGCTCAGGGCGGTTCCTGAGGTGGGCCGGGGGCAGCGGGCGGCCCGGAACGGCGCGGCTGCCGAATCGCGGGGCCCCTGTCTCTTTTTCTGAAGGTTGCAGGAGGATCCTCCAGCTGGAGTCAGCGGGGCTCCGTCCGAGAACAACATAATGGTTTGGAACGCAGTCATTTTTGGGTGAGTCTGCGTTCCGGGCGGTGGCAAGAGGCTGGGGACTCAAGGTGGCTCTGTTTGCCCTCCGGGACCAACCCCTAGCGAAGGCTGAGGGGGAAAGGGACAGTGTTGGGGTCTGACCGGGCCTAGGCGCCTCCCCGGAGCCTGTACCTCGATTAGCTCAGTTCCCGCTGCCAGGGGAACCGTTTGGGGTTCTCAGGGGGGCGGGGCGGGCACTGGTGGCATTTCGGCGCGGCGGCTTGCGCTGGGTTTCTAAGCCCGAAACATCTATTTGTAGTGGCTTTCCGACCTAGGAAGCGGTGCTTTACCAGAGGTGGAGTTGGCAGAGCTTGGCAGAACCTGAAATAGCTATCTCCTAAAATGAACCAGGGAGACAGGAACCCCTAAAGCGGGAACTGACAGGTTTTTTTTTTTTCTCTGTGTTTTAGGCCTGAAGGGACCCCGTTTGAGGATGGTAAGAGAGTTTCTTTGCCCGCCTTTCAGGACAATGGTCATCTGGGGAAAGGGTTCCTAGACATCCTGGAAGTACTTCCTACTTAGGAACCTGCTTCTCCCTGGCTTCTGCCTACGAAAGGCTTGAGTGGAATGCAATACGTGGCAGGTTGTTCTGGCTATTGTCCGCTTGACTAAAACTGCATTTTCTGTTCTTGCTTGCTTGCTTTAAAAAAAAAAAAATCTGGTTAAGGCAATTACTTTTTAAAAGAAGCATATCAGTGATGTTAAGGTCTTTTGAGGTCTGGGCTGTGATCCCACAAAATACAGCCCCTCGTCAAGATACTGAGTTAGTATCAACTCTACCACACTTGCTGATAGACTCAGAAGTCCCAGAGACCATCTTGTTAGAATTCTACCACAAGGGCAGGAACTGCATTTAATAAATGTTTGATGGATGTTGAATGGATGCAAGGATCCCTTGCACACAACTGTCTGGTTTCTACAATCTGGCATTGAATGCCTGTCAGCCTCACTGCTCTAAGATGGGCTTTAATGGCACCTTTACTGTCCAGTTTGAGTATAGTATTGTTTCTTATTTTTAAATGAGTTTTCAATATGTGCTTCTATCAAGACTTTATGCTCAGTAATCTAAAAATAGTTTCAGAATTGAGGGTAGCCTTAATGTACTCTTTCAACTAGTGTACAGCCTACTTGAAGGGACTATAAGTACCTATAGCCACATAATTTTTAATGGATTTACATTTGACTTTTAAAAACACACATGCTAATTACTTTTTAATGATTTTTTTAAAACTTTCTATTTTGAGATAATTATAGATTCATGTGCAGTTTAATAAATAACAGAGAGATGTCCGTCACCCACTTCCCCCACCACCTCCTTTGGTAACATTTTCTTTTCTTTTTTTTTTTTTTTTAGGCGAGGCAACCCTTGGTTGACCTCACAGATTGCAAGGACCTTGTCAGCTTATAATCCCTTATTTTTTATTTTATTTACGCCTACAGCACTTGGTCTTCCTAGGTGATCTCCCATCCAAGTACTAACAACCAGGCCCGTCACTGCTTAGCTTCCGAGATCAGACGGGATCAGGCTTGTTCAGGGTGGCATGGCCGTAGATTCCTTTGGTAACATCTTGAATGACTGTACTACAATATCACAACCAGGAAATCGACACTAATAGAGTTTTATGTGCACTCAATTGTGGGTGTGTAGCTGTTTTTTGTAAGTTTAATCCATTTAAAAGATGATTAAAAGTATTTGAACTTCTGATTGACATAGTTAATATTTGAGGTATTTTTAAAAAGAAAGATTTCTGTTGTTTTTTTTCTCAATGCCTTATCTTCCTTTGTTCATGTAGCATTTTATATATAAATGTATATGCACACATGCACATAACTCAATTTGAAGGTGGGAACAAAAACATTTCTGCGGACTACTAAGTACATACTTATGTTGCCGAGTTGGATTGCTTTTTGATGCTAACAGTCCACAAGATGTTGTGAGGTAGGTCATTATCAATCAATTCTGAAATTTGTCTCAAATACTGGGATTTTCCTACAAGACTGCAGATAGTCACTTGAATACTTTTAGCTTCCTGTCTGCCTTCATTCCCTGGGTAAATATTATTGCTCTTCAGTGCTGCAATAAAAATAAATGACAGCAGTAGAGAAGTTTTCTAAAGGCATACTACTTTGGTGCAATAAATCATTTGAAGTGATCCATAGCAAGACTTAATTTTCTTCTACTGGATTGGTGCTAGTTATTCCTACCTAAGCTTTATGTGCTGATTAACTGTGCATTTGCTTTAGCCTTAGCAGACTTTGTTTTCATTGGCTTATTTTTCCTTCCTGATTTTATTCAGACTGCTTTATGCTGGGCACAGCTTTATTAATAGTACATCTCTTCACTGGGGGTTGGTTACTTAAATATTTCAAGGGTGCTTTTCTTGTTTTAAGTGGTATGAATTGAAAAGGTATTTAAGGAGTCCATTATCTACCCAGACTTTCCCCCTTGACATTACTGGCTCTATTTTTGATGATGTGTATCTCTTTCCTGACATTTAGTGAAAGGAATTACTCAAGCTAAATAACAGTACCCTTTTCTGATTTGTTCTTTTGAACAGTCTGCTATCCAGGGATGCTTCCTCAGGTGTCTAGAACACTGTGACTACAAAAATATTTTGACCATTCATTAATACCCCTCACTTACAGTTAGGAAATTTACTGGAAAAAACTGATTAGGGACAAGTGGCATAGTTGATTTTGCTGTTTCCAATGTATTGCATAAATCATCCCTAAAACTACTTTTGCTGCTTCCTTGTAAACCGTTTGTAGTGGAAGTTTCTAGATCAGGCAGGCCCTAGTTAAAGAGATGAAATCTTAAGAAAAAGAATTCTTAAAGGTATTCTGATTTAACTTCACACACTTAAGGAAAAGGAAAATGTTTCCAAGAGCTTAAATACCAAATAAAGCATTAGGGGGTAGGAGCAATGCTCCTTCATCAAAATATTTGAATATGTATGCTGACTACAAAGGCTATGGAATAAAGTATTCTCTATCACATCATCTACAAATTGTTAATAGACACAATAAGATACTAGTATTTGCTTTTCATAATAGAATTATTTTTAAGAATTTGGGTGTAAGATTTTTTTAAAAAAATGAATCACTTAAAAATCCACTAAGGGTGTTCTTAAGGTAAATAAATCCTATGATGAAGAGTATTTGTGTGTTATCTTAAAAATGAGAATTTTTAATCATAAAAATTTTTTTTTTAAGTATGTGTACTTTTCTTTCTCCTCAGGGGTCACAATCTGATAACCAAGTGGCAGAAAACGTCTGAAGGGGTGTTTTCTTTGGCCAACATAGTATTTTCAAAAATTTGAATTTGTGAATGTCTTTAGCAAAATATACACTCTTTAGTTTAACCATACCACTTGCTATTGCCACACACCAGCCATTTGACATATTTATATAATTTTTCTGGACCTTACATATAGATGGGTTAATTGATACTTTCCTTACAATGCCTTGGCCTCCTCAGGGAGATGAACAAAATCAGTACAGATTGTGTATGACAATGGTCAGGCTTAAGTTTTTGGTTATTTTAAAGCCTAGCCTTCTAAATATTCAGAGGCTAAGTTCTAGACTTAATTGCATAATATTAATTCTAAGGTTTTAAATTTCTTTAACATTTGTTTTGGATCTCAGAAATTTTCTTGAGGGTTATATTAAAGAGGTTCTGCTTGTTTAATATGGCTAAAAGTATGAAATATTCCCTTTTAAATATGTACTTTGAATAATTTGGTTAAGTCCTATTTTATATTCACGTAGACATAAGCAGGTTGTTTCCCTTCTCAAGATATTAAATGAGCAGCTTTAAAAGACTTGACTCTTCTTTGGTAGTTAGGAAAGCACCTTGTTGAACTTCTGGGCAAGTATTAGATAGCTTAACTCAAGGGTGTTTTGAGAGCCACCAACATAGGTTCTCGAGTTGCATTTAACTGTGAGCGTTTAGGTCAGAAATAAAGTACTATTTAACATTTGAATCCATTAATTGTATATTTATTACTGATAGTGAAGTTTGGATTTGGGGGTTTTGCCACCTTCAGCTGGGTCTCAAGATGTAAAACTAGAATTATTAGTATTTATAGAGCACTTATTTTGTGTCACTGTGCATATTTCCCCTCATTGAAACCTCACAACCATTTTATGTGGTGGATACTATTTTAACCCTATTTTACAGATGAGGAACTTTAAGTTGAGTGGCTTCCTCAAGGTTTCATAACTAGTAAGCAAAGCAAGTATTTGAACCCAGGTCTGTGTGACTGCTAAGTTCCACTTATGCCTGCCTTCTGTGTTGCTTTACCACCTTTAGGTATCGTACTTAATGATGATTTTAATTTAAAGTAACTGGGAGCTCTGTATGCTATTTAATCTGTCTAATTTTAGAGCAATTCCTTGATGATAAATCTCTTACCTATAACTTAATCAGCTTTAACATTGAGTCAAATGTGTTTACACTTGAGATACATAAGGAAACTCAAACTTTGAAACTCTGTAACATTGATTCCCAGTTTTCCTTGTATATTATAATATCAGTAGTATTGAAAAGAATATGATTTATTCCTTGAAAAGGGGAAGATTTATGACCAGGTGGTGATAACGATGAAGTAAGTTCTGATAGACTATAGCTTGTTTGTCCATTCCAAAATATTTTACTTTTTGTCCTTAGCTATAATACATAGAATCTTCAGATCTGACTTTCAAACAGTTTAGAGAGTAACAATAGTTTGGAGATTATGTGTCTATATGTTGAATTTTAAATTACTTTGAAACTTTGGGATCCCGTGTTCATACCAAGGGCGGCTTTGTTTCCTATAAGCTTGCTGATAGGATGCAAACTTTTGGCATTGTTTTATTGTAACAGATCTAGCAGAATGATTGTAGTCTTCTCTTTTTAACCCCTTAAGTGGTGATAAACCTATTCATGGAAGCAAGAAGGAAATAAATTTCTAAGTCTGAAAGACCCAGTAACAAATTGTACTCTACCCGAAGTGCCGTCTGTTGTATTAGAATAAGTAGTTTATTAAGTGGACCATAGGGATATAGTGGAACATGCACCACCTTATACCAGAGAGTAACTGATTCTTTGTTTACTTGAAGAGATTTCAGTCAGGGAAGAACTAGTTGCCCAATTGTTATCATGGATTTATTAAACCCAATTTAAAATAATATTTCAAAGGAAATAATTTTCCCAAATCACATCTTACAACTCTTGAATGAGATTGTTAGTCCTTTCCTCATAAATAAGTCTACAACCTAGTATGCTTTAGGGCCTCCTGCTACTTTAGTTGACACGTATTCAAGAAAAATAAGTTCATTAGTAGCCTAAACAACCATTGTTAGAAAGATAAATTTGCTGAGACATGAATGTAATCTAATGTGATATTTAAATGATTTCTGCCATTAATTCCCCCCATTAGTGTAAATAATTTTGTTGATTTGATAGTGAAATACCTTGTGAGTCATACTTAAGGGTTTTGGCAGGGACTGTGAAGTTTTCTCTGGCTTATATGCAATTATGTTTTCATCATAGAATTGCTATTATATGAAAAGGAACCAGTGAACACTTTTATACCTATTTCCTTCTATTTAAAAAATAATTTCTTAATTGATTTATACTTCTAGCATTTATTTTTGGACCTTTGTACTCCCATTCTTTCTAGTCCACTTAAAAATCTGGAGCATTTAAAAGATGGCAGCTGATTCAAATAGGCCCTTAAGGTCTTCTAGCTTTCTAAAGGAAGGCCGCATTTTGGCTCTAGTGTCTTGTCATTTTAAACACGTCTTCAAAATGTACAGTGGCTAAAGTTATCCTTCACAGTAATTTTGAGTTTAAGATGGCTGTATTTAAGTTTGGAGGAGAATAGTGGGAAAAAATGTAAAACAAATCACCTTTGGGCGGTGGTTCTTACAATATCTGTCCATTTATTGGGGTTTCTCTATGTCTTTGTATTATTTTCATTTAACACTTTAAAAAATCACATAGCATTAAAAACAAAGTGATAAATATGTTTTCTTAAACCTGTCTTTTCTAACTATAGGAACATTTAAGCTTACAATAGAATTCACTGAAGAATATCCAAATAAACCACCTACGGTTAGATTTGTCTCTAAGATGTTTCATCCGAATGGCAAGTATCACTTTTAATACAATATTTTAAACTGTTGCACTGTTTATTAGGGAGGCAGTCCACATTTCTTCTAGATTTGTCTGTAGTACCTGTATATTGTTTAGGCATCCTGCTATTTCCTGAAAACTGAACTTGTTCCTGGTGGTCTATTGCTGCCTTGAGCTCTAGTCCTAGGAGTGAAGCAGTGAAGCTACTTTGCCTTTGCTTGGAGTCTGAGAGCCTGCCGGTTTTGATGATCTTTATCATTATTTACTTATTAAACAAAAATAAGGATGCTTTTGAGGTTTCCTTTTAATGTTAGGCCAGATTGGGGTAGTCTTGTGCTGTAATTATTTTCACTAGTGTTTAAGGCAATAGTTTTCAACTTTGGTTGCAGATCAGAATTACCACGGAACATTTTAAAAATACACATGCCCTGGCCCCACTCTAGACCTACCGAATGTCAGAGTCTGTGGTTGGGGGCCAGGTGTACAGTAGTATATTGGGAAATCACCACAGGTGATTCTAACTAACCATTTGCTTTTTTCCCCCTAGTAGCAAGCCTAGAACAGCTTGCCTTTTATTCAGATTAATAAAGTATTTTACAGGGTGTCAGATATTAATTATCTTCATGCAAACATGAAACCTTGTGAATTCTGAACTCAATCTTTTGTTATTTCAGATAGGAGATAGAGTTTACAAATTTGGTGGAATGAATTTCCCAGAAGTCTGTGGATGGCTGGGGACCCTGTTAGAAAATGTGTATGATTTCCTAGACAACGAGGCACTCTCTTTAGAACTTTTAGAGCACTGAGTATCTTCCAGTTTTATACTGATTGCATTTGACATTCTCCGATCATCCAGATTACTTCACTAGTAATGCTTATGACTCTTTTTAGGAAGGTGACTGAGAAGCAGCTTGGGGAATCTTTTTAAACTTCAAAAGCATTCTTGACTGTACTTGTCTTAACTATGATATAAAACCTTAATGGTTTTGTTATGTTTAACATACATACTTCTCTGTTCTCAGTCTATGCAGATGGTAGTATATGTCTGGACATACTTCAGAACCGTTGGAGTCCAACCTATGATGTGTCTTCCATTTTAACATCCATACAGGTGAATTCTCCTTCATGTGACTATGGCCTTTTATATGCTTATATTAGCAATTGAATTGTTTTTTGAAATTTATAACTTAAAAGGTAAGTCATTAAGACCTAAGGCACCAGAAAACATTTACATATATATTTGCCTAGCTACTAGCAGATTAATGGAATCTAGGTTAGTATGCTAAGAGAGCATATATAGCTGTTACTTAGGATGATTCAATTGTCTTGAATATATATATACACATACACACACATACATATATGTACACACACACATATATATATATTATTTTGCATCGAGGAACTGACCTTTTGCAAATTGTCTTTATAGTCTCTGTTGGATGAGCCCAATCCCAATAGTCCAGCAAACAGCCAGGCTGCTCAGCTGTACCAGGAAAACAAGCGGGAATATGAAAAACGTGTTTCTGCCATAGTAGAACAGAGCTGGCGTGATTGTTGACCTGGGTGCAGCAAAGTAAGAGGCTGGGCATAAGAAAAAAATATATTGATGTATTTGTCACCTTCCTATTCAGTGTAATACATTTACTTTATTAAAAGCAAAATAGCTATTGTGCTGTTTCCATCTTCCCTTGCCAAGTTTTTCCTACCCCTTCTGTCCTTTCCTTGAACATCAAAAAACACCCTCTATGAAATCAAATGTACTGTACCTGGGTTACGTGCAAAAATTACTAATGTTTAATTCCTTTTTTGTTGTATCTCATCTCCAGCTTTAGGGCAATATTGTGTTACTATACTTTATACTAAGCTTTTTAAATGAATTGTTGTACAAGTGGTACTTATGCATAGCTTGATGATCTGGATGTTATTTTTAACAAAATGATTGCTGAAGTGTTTCTTCCTGGCTGGTCCTTCACTTGTGTTGGATTTAGAATTAAATGTTTGTAATATGGCATATAGAAAACCAAGAAACAACTCCATATAAATATTCATTTTGAAAGAGTGATGGAAGCTAAAAATCTTGTGATACTAAGATCTAACTAATGAATTATAAGATGGTTTTTACTGGTAGGAAGAATGTTAAAGGACTCAGCCAAAGGAGTACAGCAATTGTAACTGACACATCCTCTCCTTGCAAGATATTCACTGGGCACACCCATGCTGAGTTTCATACTACAGTCAGCCTTCTGTATCTGCAGGTTCCACATCCACAGATGCTACCAAATCAAAAATATTCAGGAAAAAAAAATGTTATGTTGCTGACGTGTACTAGGATGGTTGCATCTGTACTGATGGATACCTAGGGACAACTGTGCTGAAGTCTTCTGCGTTTTAGCTTTTTAAAGAAGTGTGGGAGCAGAAGAATGGAAACAATCATTATCTTTTAAGCAGGGAAAGGTTGAAGATCTTTTAAGATCTAGATCTTGAATCTTTTAAAGGAGCAGTGCTACCCTAGATAAACAAATTTATAATCTCCCATAATTTTTTAGTTTTAATTAACCTAAGGAAGGGAACATATCTGTGGCAAATTATTTTCCACTCAAATCCTGAGTTAATGCTGCATGCTTTAGTTTCTTCTTCCCTTTCAGTATTATAAGAACCTTAAAAGTCAATGTTTGCAATCTTTTGTTGGATATTTATACTTTTAGATAAATAGTACCTTTAAGTAGCAGTGTGGGATAAGGCTTGTTAATGTTTTGTCTAATGTTCCATTGTCACCTTTTGTGCATTTATCACTTCTAACTTTGCACAAGTAACCCATGTAAAAAAATGTACATTTTTCAAAAGTTGTAAATAAAAATGACCTTAAAATTTTGTAGTCAAGCTGTAATTACATTTTAGCTAAGTATGAACTTTTAGTATTATTGGAATCTCATATCTACTCATTTCTCCTCTTGAATTAAACATGGTAAAAGCAAAAATACAGATTCTGGGAGAGGGAAAAGAGTAGATACTGTTGGAGAGGACTTGTTTTTTCAGTCATGTTAATGTTTTAAAAAAATTAACAGAATGTAAAACTATTAAATAAAGCTACTTCAGCATATGTTATGGTCAATCAAAGGAATGAAATTCTGATGTGGGGGGGTGATAAGCAAACCTGGATGTTTACCAGTGCCTTCAGAGACCAACACCTAACTTGTTGAGCCTGACATCTACCTCTTTAAAAGCCTTAGCTTAAAAACAGTACCAAACTATTATAAAATGGTATTTTCAGTTCTATGTAAAGTTTGGGAGTACAGTTATCCTCAGTCTTATCGTAAGGGCAGTGACTGTGGAAATTCACCTCTTGTTTTGGTGGGCAGGGGTTAAATAAAGTGAAGTCCTTATGGTACACACTCATCCTTTAAGACATGGCACTGAAAGGAACCTCGTGTGGGGGAATTCATTCTGCACTGACCACCACACTAACTGGTTTGCTTCAGCTAGGAGTGACATCCTTAAATGTGCTTAGTTTTCCCTTAAGTCTACTTCTGCTTCAGAGGAGAACCACATTAAATTGGTCTTCATTTGGTACATTAGTTTTACATTAACTTTTTCATCCTACTGTGGCTGGAGACCTTAAATATTGACACTGTTAATCACACCTGAAAAAATTAAGGTGAGATCAGAAATGTTCAGATATATTTCCTTAGAACACATCCTGAGAAACAGTATTCCCAGTCTCTTTCATGGGCTAATCCTTTTAAAACCTTTCAACAGAGTCAACAAGCTGACTTCCCAAAGCATCATACATAAGAAGTACCAGAAACCATTCAAACATTTAATGCTAATTTGCCTTTTTTTCTTTACATTTTTACAAATGCCACAGGCTGCCTGCATATAATAATTGTAACAATAATAAAGTCAAAACAGATTTATGACTTTTCAAATGGCAGTCAGATTTGAACTTGTCTTCAATTCTGCACCTGCTGATGTGGGAAAGGAGGTATGATGAAGAACAAAAGATATAATTAGAGTCCTTTGTTTAGAACTCATCTCCAGCTTCAGGGGTTACTTATGGCAAAATGAATGCATGTATACTACTGAAAAAAGAATCCCAACAGAATGCATGAAATTTCCATTCATTTTGCAAAGTGGAGAGAAAAAAAATCTAAGATCTGTGACTCGATGCTATAACTGAAAGCAGTTTCTCAGTATAACATATTTGGGGAAGTAACTCAAACTGCTCGTAGACTTCTGCAGGTTTTATAGAAAGGTTACTGGGTTAAAAATGACTGCTATTTCAAAGAATGGGAAACTACAGAAAACAATAGGGGACAAAATAGCAAAGCTGTCAGCAGCTCATTCTTGTCAAACCCATTTCTCAACATATTTTATTCTCAAGCAGAGCAAAGGGACTTCATCCTATTTCTATATCAATACCAAAGCTGATCTAAGAAGGTGGGAAATCTAGACCCTCATATCCAGAACCAAATATATATTTGGCCCAAGTATTTGGGAGCCTTAACTGTAACTACATTAATATTCTGTTCTGTTGAATTTATCTAGATTAAACCAGATTTATATGTAAAATTCCCCTACCCCACCAACCTCCCAAAAAAATCACTCTGTAAAGAGGAAAGAAACGTAAAGAGAGAAATGAGTTTTCATACTCAATCCCCAAAGCCACTTTTACTCAAGAGAACTGAAGGTTGACTTTTATAATTCACTAATTGAACCATAGCTTCTCAAGGTGGGTTATGAGCCTTGCAGGTAAAAAAAAAAAAAAAATCCTATTAAAACCCATAAACATTTTAGCTTAGTTCCCTTTGCCAGTGTTAAAAAATATTAAGTGCCAAATAAAATGCACACCCCACTTATCTTCCTACCAACACTAAGAAAGGCCACACTGTAGGAAGAGAGATAGTGGAAAGCAAGTATCACATACTGTTAATTATTACAGGTGACTAAAAGTTACAGACATACGGGTATAAAAGTTAATCCCTTTATAGTTTGAACATACTGATTTAACTACAATAGATAGCTTCTTAACGTAAAATAGTAAAAAAGGGAGAAAGGAATTTACTGTATATTGTGGGCCAATTACATGTCAAGTGTGGTGCTAAATGTTTTAAGACACTAAACAACTTAATGTTCTAAATATCATTTCATTGGAGGTGTTTAACTATCATATTAATATTCACAATAATAGTGTGAATATTCATACTTGATTTATCTGAGATACAAAATCACATAAAATTAAATAGCCCGAGATTTGGTTGCAGCCAGCATGTTGGTCCATAGGAAAAATGTGACAGGTGACTGATAAGCATTTCCTATCTGCTAAGTCATTATGTTCATCCACATGTGCTCTGGTGTTGAAATATCTGGTGCAAAGACCACTTCCCCTCTCCAAAGACCCAAGTGTCGCTGCTAGGCTGATGCCCAGAAATAAACACACTACCATTTTGATCAACTTTGGCTCCTTTTTATTTCAGGAAGCACACAGTAACTCTTTTTATACACTTTTTTTTTTTTTACATTCCAGAAATAAGCGAAAATAGCCATTTTAAATATGATACAAAGTTGGCTTTTGGAGCTTAATAAGCTTTTTGAGAGAGGGACCAGCCAATTGACCTTTTCATCAAAGCACCAATGTATCTTCAGTCTTTTACCGAGCTCCACCACAGCTGTGGCTGCCTTGGATGTGCTGTACATCCAAACCATGTGAAAGCTATAATGGAGAGTTGCTGTGAGTCTCTGCAAGGCACCAAGAACATACAGTTCCAGCTTCCTTTCTTCAGATTAAATCAAAATTTCTGAAACTTTTCAAGTGCTCTCTCAAGTAGTGCTCTCATGAAGACTAGAATTTGTTAAAACTGATATGTCACAAGGTACAGTAAATCACTTCCAATATTCTGAAAACCACATGGTAGAAGTTATAAATAAGCAGACACTTAAATTACTTTAAGAAAGTTTTACATCATTTAGTCGGTAAGGACATTTACACGTACAGCACAATTTACTGTTAAACATTCTATAACTGGCTCCACACAAAGATGAAAATAGATAATACAAAATGATCTGACATTTTAAGTCTGGAATTAAGACTGCAGTTTTATTATAGTCAATAACAACTTTATATGTTGCAGATTGCTGTGCTATGCCCTTTAAAATGGGAATTTCTTTCTCAGGGTGAAATTCCATTTGGATATGCATTCTTTCTTTGTACAAACTACTAAAATCTGAGGGACACAGCAGTATCAAAGACACAAACAGTAACTGCACAGTATTATCTGCTGGATTAAGCTAATACAAGTGGACAGAATTTTTCAGGTTCCAATATCTAATAAAGCACTATATGAAATGAACGAGGTGAAACATCTTAAGAATGAAGATACTCTGCAACCAGAACATGTAGCATTTAATTCACAAATCTGCCTCGTTAGGCATTTACAAAATAAATTAATAAGATCTCAGTTTGCTTGAGGCATTACAAGCTCGTAATGCCCTACCTGGCCTTCCTGTTTGAGCTGATCTAGTAGGTCTTCCTTCCGTCTTTTTCTACCTACCACCAGGTATCTATCATGGCCTACCCCGTGAGACTTACTCTTAAGCCCATACTTCTGGGCGATCTGATGTATTTGCTTCCGCTCGTCATTAGTCAGCTCTGTAGAGAAAGTCAAATCCGTGTGGCTCTCAGAGCGGGCGTAGTTTCTGATGATCTGTTCAATATCTCTCTTGGCTATTTTATTTACCCTCTCTACATCAAGCCCAAGCCCTTCCCGCTTATGCTGCTCTTTGACAGAGATTGGCTCCCGAATGCCCTCACCAGATTTACCTAATCCACCACCCGTCCAACCCATCTTTCTCAGCAGCTGATTTCCTATGTTATCTTCCTTGATTTGTTGTTTGTAAGCTTCCTCCGCTGAGCGGCCCTGAATTTCATTTCTTGAAATCACATCTTCAATAGCTCCTTTCTTCAAGTTGTTAATGACAGTCGGCTGGGTCTTTTTGAGGGTTTTCACAGCTTCTCCAGCAGCTTCATACTTGACAGTTTTCTTCACCCCAATTGCTTCTGCAATTACTTCACTCTCTAGAATCACCTTGCATTTCCATCGGAGGCCTGTCATTCTTTCATAGACATATTCAACTGTCATCCGGTTAAACTGAGCTGTGTCGTTCAGCGTGCACACAGGATTTGAAGAATTCTCGTAAACTACAAGATCCTTTATATCTTTCTTCTTGCCAGATCCCCTGGGTGAAGAGCCTGTTTGACACTGTGAACTTTTGACAGCTGGGTAAGTGGGTTGTGTTTTTTGAAGGATTTTCAAAGCCTCATCAGCAGCTGCATGTTTACTTGTTTTTTTGGTTCCATAACCTTCAGCTAAGCAATGATCTTGCAAAAACACTCGACAACGCCATGTGCGATTTGGCATCATCTCATATTTGTATTCAACTGACATTTTGTTGTATGAGGCAGAATTGTTAAGGATACCAATTGCATCGTTTGCATTTTCTGTAAGAACAAAATTGGTCCAGTGTTTGGCGGAAGCATTAAAAATTGGCTGCCCAGAAGCATCTTTAGCCAGTACCACCAGCTCTTCTGGTGGTTTCAGAGCTGGAGGAAATTCATGTGAAGGCATGCCAATCTGACACACCACAAGGTCTTCTCCAATTGTGTGCTTGAATTTCCGTCGGACAACCCTAACTTCAATACGTTTCTGCAAGAGTTTTACAGCTAGCTCAGTAGCTCGATCCCTGGACCCATTCTTGCTGCCAGCATAACCTGTAGTTAAGTAGATATTCTGGCATCTAACTTCACAAGCGTAACCATCTGTCAGAAGTTTTTTATTTTTGGGGATGTCAGCAGGAGGGATTTCTTTTAAAGGAGCATAT